TAAAATTGAAATAATTTTTTGCATAATATGTTACATGTCGATGTGAATTTTATACTACCAATAAGTGTCATTAAAATGAAATTGTCAAAGTTAAATCTGATTGCGCGTTTAAAATGTTAACACTTATTAAAAAAATTATGTTTTTTTTAACACGTTGTTTTCAATAGAATGGACATATTTGAAGAGTACACGAATCAATAAGTATATAATATAATATAAATATATAATGATATGTAAATGCGTTAACACTGTTGTTTTTCGAATTTTAGACTGGTTCAAAACTTAAATAAAAATTTGCATACGTTATAAAAACGTCAATAACCACACTATGAGTCTATGACACACCCTTCGTGTGTAAACGAAGTATGTTTTTTTTTAATTGTATCGAAAATAGATGTGTCGCCGGTGAAGTGAAATTTGATAAATTAAAAAGAAAAAATGCTCTGTTATAAATGGAATCATAAGCGGACCTGTCAACATTGACAAACTACCAGTCATGGCTCACTGGATTGACAAAATATAATAGGGACAAAAAACAACATTGGATCCGGTCCAACCTTTTAATACGAAATTATTCCGCCCAAATAACTGAGTAATACGCTCTCGATACACGACCATCTCTCCGAGTCAGATCATTTGAACTGTATTAGGTACTCTATAATAAACCGAATTCCGTTTGGCCAAGAAAACACCTACCTATACCGCAAAACTCAAGATTATACTCTTATAAATAACTCGATACTACAAAAACGATAAACTTTCCTTGAACTTTTAAATTAAACAAAACTAAAAATATATTCACATATACGTATTTTTAGATACCTACTTGATTTATAGTAAATAATTTTATCGGAGTGTTGAGAAAATAAGATTTGAATCAATAATTTATTTATTATTCATCGCAATATATATAAGCACGCAACATGTAATGTGTAAATGTGTTAGGCGGAAGATTAATTTATGACACTGTTGCATATGAAACATATTCCTTAAAACTCATTATATCTCAGAATATTGGAACACGCAGTGTGAGTACACGGACTTACAATATTATATAATAATTTGAATAAAAAAATTATGAAATTTATCGTGATTTGTAATCTGATAGATAATCTACTAAATTAGGTGTAACCAGTGTAAAAAAAAATATGCGAAAATTCAAGACTTCGAGATTGTATAGTCATTTCAAGTATGCATTTCTCTATGTGTATACAAATATGTAAAATTATGTATATTGTATATATATTCTAAAAAAACACGAGAAAAAACCTTAAATCCACAAGGAAATATACATAATATTACGAATTGATCATGGTAGTTGTATATATTATAATCGTGTATATATAGTAGAACTATAAATGTAAAAAATATACCTAATTAGATTAGCATAAGAGTAGGAAGAATCTACTACATTAGCAACAGGAGTTTTATATATAATATGTATACTAATATGACGGTATAAAATGATAGGTATATAATTTATTTTTTATGTTGCTGTTAAATATTATCAAATTGTCAAAATGCTACGATTAATTATTATTCGTATTCAAAATTAGTTTAAAGAGGAGAATCCCAAAATCGAATTATTAAAACATCAACGAAATAATCACGATCGGTTTTTCGATTATACCTAACGAATTAAAACGATTTTTAAGAAACAATATGATCGCCAGCGGTCACTCCTTTGCTCGCCTTCGTTTCCGTTTTCCTATGGCCTATGGGGCCCGCGAGAGAGCGGGCCTGGTCTGCACGCCGGTTGTCCGAATGATATCTCCGACCTCCGTAGACGATGCAGCATCAAAACGTTATAACAACTATGAACTAAGTAGTTTCTTCTTAGTTCATGATTACAACTAACTCAATGGACTTATCCGAAGAGCGTTATCGAGACGGAATCGTCATGACAACGAGCGGCAACCCACGTGCAAGGAAATCTTAATAACTGACGGTAATGAAGAAATTATTAAAAAATAAAATAAAACCCATACGCCCGCAGCGCGAAACCTGTAAGTTGTAACCGCGGTCCTGTTGTGGTAACCGACCCCCGCGCCGCGATCCGAGCTGCTGACGACGACCGCGACGGTTAAATTAGCTTTCCACCGGGGCATAAATCATCCGGACAACTCAAAATACGAGAAACGTAAACAAATATCGTGTGGTGCGCGCGGTGTGCACACATTTTATTTCCAATCGTATTATATTATTATTATTGTATATTATATTTACATAGATACGTTTTCTTCTAGTTTCCAAAACACGTCGTAGGTATAATGACGAGAGCGTGAAAATATTATAACGATAATAAAACGCTCACGATATTAATTATTAATATTATATTCCCAGCGTCCGTCATAATATATTACTCGGCGGCCGAGTGTACGAAGTGAAAACGCACGGATAGTCCGTGACACTTTAATCGTAGGTATAGCTGCAGTTCGCGTGTCCGTCGCGATTACACTACTGTTTGGACATTAATCGTTTATGAAACTAATAAAATGCGAAAAATCCGTGACAAATTGAATTTAATGCGGACCAGAACACGAAGTTATATTATATATTATATAAAAAAAAACAAGTAGCCGCGATGGTTCATTTGCATAATACGCGCTGCGCCGCTGCTTATACGGAGCTCATAATGATATACCTACATAATATTATTATAATGTCTTTGACGGGGTTATTCTAGGCTACTGAAAATGAAGACCGATTGTTTACGAATTCGATCGTTCAAACATGACCAAGTTTAAAAAAGCTGTTTGACTACCTAGGTATACGTGTATTACTACAATTATAGTAGGTACCTACATATTATATACGATGAATGTCCCATGCGATCAGCTACGACATCATGTATTTTAATGGGTAATCAATCAGTATATTTTACTGAAATGTTTCAGCGGTTTCAGTTTAGGTAATATAGGTACCTACCACGGTTGTGGCCAAATAAGAAAACATTTTAATGAAATCACATCAATCAATATAATTGTTGATAGTAATAAAAAAATAAATAAAAGATTCCTAGTTGTTATGTTACAGTCTAAGTCTATACTCTATATATTAGGTATAGTCGTATAGACGATATAGTTCAACAGTCTGAGCAGACTCTAATCTCCGCCTATATGGAAGTGTGATATTTCTAAGTATATTGGCTTCGTGGAATATTTCTTTGTGACGACAGTTTAACAAATAACAAATTTCGCGTTCGGCTCCGACACTTTTATTTTTTAATGACGCTATAATTTTAGCTTACAGTCTTATTATGTTTTTAAAGCGATTTTTAAATAAATTATATATTTATACAGTTGTACATATACGTTTGTTTTTTTTTTTATTGATCTTAAGCCCGGCAGCTTAGGCCATAAGCTATTTTTTTTTGTTTGTAGGTTTTTGTTGGTAGGTTTTTTTGGTAGGGGGGGAACACGTGTGTGTTTGTTTTGGAGGAATTTTTGATTTGGGCACCCGTAGGTATCTGCAATGCCCGGGTATGGCGGCACTTGTTCTCCGGACACCGTGACTATTGTCCCAAGAATAATTCCGTCCATGGCCGAGGCATCGAACCAGCGTCGGCTGCATCGTAGCCGACGCCTTAGTCCGCTCGGCCACTCCGTCTCCCACATACGTTTGTATTTTTGTATTTATTGTATTTTTTTTAATTTGCGAAAATTATTGTATATATAGTTAGGTATGTTTTTTAACATATGGATATTTTGTTCTATAAAACATACATAAAAAATCTAGTTGGAATATTTTTTCCGTAAATAAATAATTATTATTAGGTATTAAAATTGTATATAAATACAGACAATTTGAAGTACCTTTATAAATTTTAAATATTGGCAATAAATGTATCAACCAATGTTACTTAAATAGTTCTATAACAGTATCAAGACATATTTTATTATATGCGCGTGTCCCTTGAATGGGTAAAAAAAATACCTTAACGAAGAATTATTGATAAATAGAAATAAAGCTTTCTAGAATATCCAAGGTCATTCGTCGTAGACGCCGCCTATAATATTAGTGCATTATTTACTTCAATTGACTATTTATCTTAAACGGGTGAAAGATATTTCAAGTGCAATGACTTTCTAATGAGCAGTTTTAATTCCAAGAAGAAGTTATCACTGGTTTGACAATCCATTGGCTCACGTTGTGTGAGCTCCATAGGTAAATATTGCATAAGTATTTCTTTTCTCAATCAACACTACACACCCGTTGAGGTGGTTAATTATATTTTTAGTTATTTACAAGGTTTATTATTGATGAAGCCGTAGTAGGTATAATACGAGTAGTAGAAAATCATAAACATGTAATTTCAAATACAATATCACAACATTCTAAAACGCCTCCCCCTAATTTGATTGTCTTATGTAGTGAATCACGTATATGTGTTGTGCTTACATTGAACACATAGGTATTATGTTCTGTAATATCATAAAACTGTAAAAACATAACAATCATACCATACAAATTACAAAGCATATTTTTACAAACGATACATACCTAGGTATAATATTATATACCTAATACCTACCTAATATACGTAGATTGTAGATATTCCATAATTCGTAATAGATAATTATTATTAGGGATTTATTATATAAAAATAAACTTAAACAACATGAGCAAAAACATGTATCCGATGTAAGTATAATCTACAACTATAATATTCTGTACAACTATATTTGTATAGTAATTGAAATAAATAGTAATTTTAGAACAACACCAGATTATTCAGCAAAATCAAATACCGGCTTAAATATTGTAAAGACTAAAGACTATTATAATGCACCTAAATGAAAAACAATTTATACCTACACATATAATATGTTATTATAATACAACTATACAAGTACTAACTTGCCGGGACTAAAAGATCGTCAATGCATAAATCAATAAATTATAAATGTAATCCATCTGCTTTTATGTAACCTACTAACACTTTTTCTCGTTTTACATAAATCTCAAATGTTTTAAGCGAATGTTTAGTAATTACTTACAGCAATTAATCCTGACTGGTTTGAATGTCTTTTAGAATGGGTAAATCCTGGATTATGAGCTTGAGTCAAGATTAACGATATTATTAATAACCTGCAAAAGAAAATGTAACAATTAATAAAAAATAACAAAAGCAATCTATTTTGAAATAACTAAAACAACTATAAAAAAAATTATAATATATATAGGTGTAGGCTATTAAAAGCTAATGCGTAGTTAAGGTACAAATAAATCTTAGTGTACCTTATGTTAAAAAAAAAACAAAAATTGTTATTACCTACTGAAGTACACAAAATATAAATAAATATATTTTCTTTGAAAAATGTTACCAAAATATTTAAGAGTACGCACCTACATTATAATAGTTATTATATTATTTCATTAAAAAAAAATATGTCGTGCTCTTTAGGCATTGGAATTCTTAATAAAAAATCTACTTAATCGACAATGAAATTCATAAACCGCGGTGTTTATTTCATGTATAGGTACGCATATTTGTACATGAATGTTAAAGACATGCGTGAGTTCAAGACATTCAAAACTGTTGGCACTTCAATTTGTCTATAACATTTACTATTTTTACACGAAATTATAATAAATTATATAATTTGTTTTGTCACTTTATCATAATACGAGAATGCATCTCATCAAGATATATATATATTTTGAATGTAACGTAAACATTATATTAATATAACGGGTATGGAAAAATAAAAAAGTGGAAGTGGATAGAATAATAAAGACCGTCAAAACGCCCACTGTTTCCGACACTATATATTATGCTGAAAATATTACAATTGTCGATTCACACGCGAAGTAAACATTTTTGATTTGTACGATTTATATTTTATTTTGGCCACTGGCATTTTGAGAAAAAAAGATATGAAGGCGTCCGTCTTATGCCCCGACGCCCACATGCTATACTTCCCCAGGTTGCAAGCGTATCTTTTAGATATATTTTCAACTGCTACTTGTCCAGTTATTAACAACCTAGTCCTGTCAAACATTGCATATAGTCGGAACCCGAACAATATTTATTATCCAAGACATTAGTAACATTCAGATTTAAATTATATTATTTTATTTATAGGCAATAACATTATTTCAAAGCTAGAAAACTCATAACACTATAGGTGGATATGCTATAACTTACAAATTGTAATCATAGATTAACCAATAATTCCGTATTGGTTTAAGATAAAATAATAGATTTTTTTAATACCATTTACAATTTTGACTATAGTAAAAGAGTAATATCATATAATAAACTATAATAAAATAATATTAATTGACAAAATTGTCTTAAAACATGATATGTTACGTCCGTGGAGCCCTTAGAACACTCGTGGAGCACTAGGGATCCACGGACCACAGTTTGGGAACCACTATTGAATAGCACAATAAAGTCCTTCCAACTTTAAAATATATTTTTTAAAAACATTCAAATAATTGAAATCGTATACGGTCATAATTGAATTCAACATTTTAGTTTAAGCTAGTCGTCTAGACAGTATAAAAAACTAAGTCTCCATAATATAGCATGCTATATCGGCTAGTGGCTATAGTTTAATATTGAATATTAATGTTACGAATGTATTGTTAATGCATTTCATATTTTAAACGAAGTTAGTTAAATATGTATTATAGGTATAATATTATATATGAGTACTTATAAGTAGAAAAAAGAATAACAATCTTTCACAATAGTTTTGAGACATATATAATATATAGTGGTAATTTATGCAAATTAATAACTGTTCGTGTATGTATACAGACCGGTGTATTTAAAAGCATACACGTTACACGCAAGTTATAGAACTACACATAGATATATTTTGGTATATTGATATACTTCTTTTGAATATATAACTTCTCATACTTCACTTATATTTAGGTTACGTGCGTAATAAATAATAATTACTATTACGTCTGCTTATCTGTGTTAAAAGTAATAAACGATGCTATAAAGGTTACAATAATAACTTGTTACAATAAAATTACAAATATTATAACAAACGCGTGAGACATTATATTATAATCTTTAGCTTATGTTTACAGAAATCAGTATATCTATGTATTTCATATATTGTTATATTATATACTACTATAGAAGGTAAAAAATCAAACGTATTAAATTTGGTACACCCATCTATCCCGTGTGAACCATATCATTATCCGAGGTCGATAAGTGGCGCTTGGACTGCAATTTGACTAACTATAATATTAGATCAAATAACAACACAGTGTCAGCCGCTAAGTTAAGATAGGAATTTTGAGTAATATAGGATCATATGCATACTCGTGTATATATAGGTATCTATTATATATATATATTACTATTAATCAAAGTCGTGATGATAAATAATAAGTGTCTTATAACCTATATAAAAGATCTACATATTATTATTATATTTGACTTAAATTCCCTGACAAGTTATTTTTTAAATAGTTACCTACATTACTGTTATACTTACTTCTAAACTATAAAGCATGTACTGCAGGTACTTGGTACCTACCAACTGAAGTTTAATAGGAATATACATTTTTTATTTGCTAGCAACAACGAGTAATCAATAATAATAATCCAATCTCAATAAAATGCACCTGCCTATAGTTAAATAGATTAACCAGTGTTCAATACTGAATTTAACACAACTTTCTAATGTAAATCTATAATTTTATCATTTTGTAAGTACGACTAAGTTAAAACAACACTTACGATACACATTAAACGGTTAAACAATATCCGGTTTATACAACACGTTAGGATAAGCGAATGCAACCAAATTACTCAATATGTATATAGACGAATATGGGTATAGACTATGGATTATATAAACTGGTGTACCGTCATTTGCGCATGGTAAATTAAGCGCACGTTTATTGAGCGTGGTAATTATAGCGCACGACAATTAAGCGCATATGACATCTTGGCGATCGTCAAATCAGCGCGCACTACATTTTAGCGTGCGACAATTCAGCGCAATTTAAAAATATCTAATTGAAAGAATTTCCGTGTTATCGATACAGCAGCAGAAGTTTTTATCTATTGGTGTCTAGATAATCGAGATAGTCTGATATAGGCATATAGGTAGGTAACTAGTATAAAATAATTTTGTGGTTAGTATACGTAAAGTATTTCGGCTTTCAACATTCAACAACATAATGTCTGTACTACAATATATAACTAGTCAAAGGGGAAAAAATTATTAGTATACAAAAATTAAAATTATAATTATAAATTACGAAATATACAATCAAAATATGTGATTAAATACATAAAATATGTATTTTTGCCATTAAATACACCAAAATATGCTCATCAAACATAAATATTTTATTTTTATTACCTAGTTATAATTACCTAATGGATATTGTGATATGATTAATTTGGAATTTATTATAGGTACCTATTATAGGTCAATTTTTTTTTTAATACCATAGATATGTATATAATATGTCTTAAACCTAGACTGATATACCGTCTCCGCTCAGAATCGTTTTTCTTATACAATGATATTATATCATTGAATTCAAATTTAATACCATCCATTATACACCTTTTTTTAATTATATTTTGTTTATAACTGTATATTAATAATAAATTTTATTTAGTTACCTGCTGCAGTATCAGCCCAACTACCGAACCCGAGATCTTTAAAAAGAACAATATGTATTTAGCAATAATGATTTTAATTTGGGAATTTATTATATTTACTAACATTTAACTTAGTATATTTTATTAAACATGATGCGCGGAATGTGTTGCGCGTAAATGTCGTATGCGCCGACATGTATTGCGCGTAAATGTCGTATACGCTGACTTGTGTTAAGCGGAAATGTCATCGCTGAATTGTCGTGAGCTAAAATGACTGCGCTAAATTGTCATGGAACCATATAAACTATACATAATAATATATTGTGTGCATTACATATTTATTCTGTCTAAAATTAGAATTTCGTCGTAAGCCCTTGCCTCAAGAACCCTTTGAAAGATATATTGAATTAAGTTTTGAATATTATGTAAATATAGATAGTGAGTGACACTAATCTCTATATACTTATTATTTTTATATGGTCGACTATGTACTCTGAATAACTTATACCAACATGGTAACATATTATTATACCTATTGAAAATTATGCGAACACTCTTATTAGTATCATAATATATTCTTATTATACAACTTTACATACAATATGAATAAGATGCGAAATCATTTATGTTATGTGATCAGAGAAGTGTGGCGAGCAAATTTACTGTATACAATTAGATGATTATAATATGATAATATGGTAAATACTTTATTTTCTCATTCGCTTTATTTTACGTTTTAATAATCAAATAAATTCAAAAAAATTTTTTTAATCTATAAGAACAATAAAACTTATTTTAATCTATAGTAACAATATTCTATACATTTATGCAGAGTTGCATAAAAAATGTATTTATTTAATGGTTCACTAGAATTTAATGGCAAATTCGTAGGCCACAAAATCATGTTTAAGACACCATTAGGTCACTATTGATTCGTTAAATGTTTAGTGATCGTTTATGCAACCAGAAATTAATATTTTATTTTATTCTCAGTAAAGTTTAGTGCAATTTTCAATCTAATTTCAAAAAGTAATATCTTAAATGCAATATTAATATTATACCAACTTCTCATTCAAAAAATGATATGCTTTAGTACAAAAGGTAAACTTTTTATTTCGTTTTATATATTGTATAAACTATAAACAATATAGGTATAGGTACCTCTATACTAATATAATATTAATCTTTCAGATTTCAATTTTCTAATTTAAATTATTTGCCATGGGTTAGGTTGCTTCTTTTTTATGTATTATATTTTAAAATTACTAAAACAATATTGATCAAACAAAAAAAAACCTATAAGTATCTATAATACGTATAGTAGCGTGTAAAATACTAAAACCAAATGCTTAATATTATGGTTTTAAAAAATAAAGCAAACGTGATGTTATCAATTGAATGCTGTTATATATATACATTATAAAACTATAAATTCTGTCTACGTCCTTTACATTTTTTTAAGACCTATAAAATAATTCTCACTAAAATCCTTACGGGCAAATGTAAATATTTAAAGAAGTTCTTTAAAACTAGACGTTTAAAATGTCGTAACTTGATACAAACGCATTAAATATATTCTCTAGTACTACACTATTTTAGATTTTAAGAGGCAATGTGTATAGTAATTATCTAATACTTTGTTGTTTTCTATATCACGTAAAGATCTACATTGAAACATCAATGAAAACGTGACGAGTGCCAATATTACACAACATCGATGTTGTACTTCGCACATCAACAATAAGCAATTATTACAACATAAAGTCTTAAAACACATATATTTTGACCTACCTAACGCAGTATAAACATAAATTCGACAAAATTAAGATACTGATTTAAGATTCGAGTAAAACACATGCCCATAATATTATTTTATTGGAAATTATAGATGAGTGAATTCTGATCAGAAAGAAGTTTTCAAAATTGAGTAATTAGAAATGCAGTGAAGAACTTTATTAACCACATATTATTATATAAGCTTGTCACTTTTTGATGGATTTAATAAACATTTATGCTTAATATTAAATCAACATTACTAGGTTACAAAAAAAGTAATATAATACGATAATTTAATTCATTATCAATTTTTTTTACTACCTAGTGCATCTTGTGATTTTTGTTTTTTTAAAAAAAAAACAACTCTAAACGTTCTTTAATTTTTTTAATCAAGTGAACACGGGATTTTGTGAAAATCCTAAAACGTAACGGTCTGATATATTAACTATTATATTACCACAGGTGGTTTTGTTTGATTAACACTGAAATTTAATGCAATTAAGAATCCAGACGTGCCCACTCTGGTACCAACATTTTGAAAACTGTTGAAAGTATAAAGTATAAACAGTAAAAATACATAAACTATTGACCAGTAGTTAATAAAAATTACATCCCTTTTACGGCTACGGGTCA